TCTTAATCCTGGGAAAGTTTTCTCAGAACTGCAATCTATTAATTGAAAAATGAATTTTTAATTGCAGCAGTGCCACTTTCAACATAAACATGTCCATAAGGTTTCCATCAAGCGTACCAATGCATTTTCACATTTTCATCACTTTCAGAGGTTGCTTGGCAAAAAAAAAAAAAAAAAAGGTCTCAACCTTGCAGAAGACAGTGTAAAATGATTGTAATGATTTGTTAGGGAAATGAAATATGGCATCATGTAAGTTGATCTTTAATTATTACATAATTAGTTTACTAATATGCTTCCTAAAGTGCATTGTATTGAACAATTTCAGAAGACTGCTTTTATTATATTAACTTGAATTTTTCTTGCAAGTACCCCAGTGGCTTTAGTGGATTGTAGTTGTTAGAGAAGCAGGAGTTTATTGAAAGCTGTGTATAACCAGTTACCTGTGTTGGAGGCAAAACTGAGCTTGGCAAGTGGATGCAGAGGAGCTTTTGGAGAAGGGGGACTAACAATGGGGCAGTGGCCCAGAAAAGGGCTGGGGAAAGTCAGTTGTGTCTCATGCAAGCAGGAGGAGGTTGCAGGAGAAGGTAGCAGCTGCCTGTTGCCTTTCTGTTGCAGGTTCCTGCGGGACAGACTTTATTTGTCAGTGTTTGGCTCAGGCCGGTAGGGAGGCAACCACTGTCTGGCAGCAACAGGTTGTCAAGATCTTGGAAATTTATCTTGCAGCAATCTCAAACCTTTTGTTTGTTTGTTTGTTTGTTTGTGTGTGTGTGTGATTAAGTGTGGAACCAGAATATTCTTTTGCTGACCAGCTGGTTTTGTACTGTGTTGGGTTTCAATTTTGTTTATTTTGATAGGTAGAAAGGGAACCTCATATCATACCCTTTACAATCCTGGAATCTCGAAGTGAAGCAGGGTTTCCCTCCTCAGTCCTCCTCATGGCCCTTTTGCGTCAGATGTTGGGCTTTTAAGTGTGGAGAACATAGCAGGTGTCTCACTTTCTTTAAGGTTAAAATAACTTAATCAAATACAAAACTTCAGAACCTGTTTTTTTGAGAAAGTAAAAATGTGCATATGCAACCACTGAATGGCTGATAGCAGGGAAATGTGTGTGTGTGGGATATTCATCGTTTGCTATATTTTATTTTAGACTTCTCTGAGAATGATTTCATTTAATCCATCCTGAGGGAGTAGGCATTTTAGTTACTTATCCCCTGAGCCAAATATACAGGCAAGTCCCCAAAGTTTATCCACAAAAAGTACACAAAGGAAAAGTAGCAGCTGATAGCAATATTAACAGGTATGACAGCATAGTATTTTACTATCTGGTAAAGTTTTACTAATGCTTTAAAAATAAAACTACTAAAATCTCATTAAAGAACTTGCTGTATAAACACATTTATCTTAAATGCTTCCAAACAAACCAAACAACACTGGAAGTCTTTTCAAAAGCGCTTTAAGATCCTTTAAAGCCATCTGGAATGTCAGCCCTGTGTGATAACGTGCTGCTTAGTCATCTTTTTCTACAGAAGTGCAGTGACCGAACTTCCCAAAGACGTTAGCTTAAGTCAAAGGAAAAGCTGTGTTAGCCCAATTGCAGGAAACCTTTGGAGGGGGTTGAGACATCTGTTCCCACCTTCCTCTCTCGGATTCTTCGTCAGAAAAATCAGGAGGCTACCAGCTATGCTGGGACAGTGCTTAGTGAACACAAGTCCATGGCTCTGGAGGCAGGCAGTGGTAGAGGCCCGTGTGATTTCTGGGTTTTTTGAAGGTCCAGGAGACATTATTTACCAGGAGCAGCTCGCTAAGTCCAGGCAATAATGAAGGAATTGGGACAACTTGCTCAGCAGAATCTACAGTGTCAGAAAACTCCTTTTACTAATTAGAAGCATTAAATACTGAAGGAAACCTCAATTAAAGAAGTCAAACTGTTTATTAAAAAATAAAGAATATCAGCATCTATAGGATTCATGGAAATGGCTTGAATGGCACTAATGTGCTTCAACAATGAAAAATGCAATTTATCTCATTTTCAGTGCTCCATTGATTCCCTCCCCGCCCCCCCAATAAAATTGCCTTCTCTTGTCCTTTACACTTCACTCCATAATAGGGCAATGGGGAGAAGACAAGGAAGACTAATGAAATAATCTGTGCTCTGAAGAAAGTCCTGCAGAGCTGCTGCTGTAGCATATTTTGAATATGAATGCTTTAGGCTACGGACACTATGCAAACACAGCCACAGAGGCAAAACAACAGTGGACTGAAAAGCTATTCTCTGAAAGCCAGGGCTAGAAAGGAATGAGTGGATTGCAGGGTGGATTATGCATTTGTGTCTGAATTAAACTTACTGAGCAGTAGGCCTTCCTACTGCCTTATTAAGAGCGGTGCAGAAGTGGTGGTTCCCTGCTTCACAGCCCTGCTGTGTGGTGTAATGAGCTAACATACTGGGCTTTTTATATCTCCAGGATTCATGTTGCTTATTCCTCTGCCTTCTTAGCCAGGAATAAACTTTACCTTGTTATATTTTCACTTAGGTTTGAACTTGCTCCAAATGGCTCACAGAAGTAGTCATCCAAAGATAATTAACTCATCATTCTCTTGGTTCTTCTCAGAAACAGCAGTTGTTTTTGATTTTCTTGTTCATTTAGGATTTTTTTTCCTAATAAATTTCTAATAGGAGTGGTCTTGGAAGTTGAGATCAAACTGACTACTGGGTTTGTCTAGGATAAGAGAGTGGTGAAGAGCATTGCAGGAAGGGGCATTACAGGAAGCAATGAGCTGTGCTTTAATGGTGCTAATGCTATAAAAGTGCTAGCTTAAAATATAGTGTAATAGCACAGAGATAAACTTAGTGTGCCAGAGAGGCTGCCACTCTTACAAACAAGCCTGGCAGGCTTTTGAACTGGGTGTTTGCTAAGGTTGGAGACTAGAAGGAGAACTTATACCAAAGCAGAAAAGACATTAGTGTACACACAGTTTTTATTAATAATGTGATCTCTTCAATGTGATAAAAGGCATTCACTACAAACATCTGACGGCAAGGCGACCTTTATCAAAGGTGTCACCCAGATTCACACAGATTTTTGAGAGAATAACCTCCCCTCACACAAAACCCAAGATTATGTGAGCTCAGCCTGCTGACTTTTAGACCTGGACCATGCTGGATGGGTAGTCAAAAAGAATGGACCAGAACCTGAAATGTTACTGGGAGATTTTGTCTTTATGATGTGACAATACTGTATGCTTTTGTGCTCTCTGCCACAGACCATCTTTTTCTCAGCTCTGCTTAACCTGCTACTTTTCAGTACGTTGTATGACCAACTCTTTACTGCCTCTTATCTGCTTTACTTGACTGCTGGCTGTAGACATAACTATATATATATTACTAAGATTCTGAGCCAAATATATAGGGGAAGGTCTTTTTTGTTTTTTTGTTTGTTTGTTTTTTGGGGGTTTGGGTGTTGTTTTTTGAATTGTAAATAATTTTCCTAATTAGTTTTTAGTTTTGTTTCATTTAACTGATAATAAATTTGGAGAAATTTGAAGAAGCTGTAATCGTGATCTGTAACATCTTTGATGCGTGATCTGTGCAGATTCCATGGGATTTCTTAAACAGTTTAGAAATTTTACTGCTCCATTTCTGCAAACATAGAAACAGCATGGCCACATGAGGAAAAATACAGTTTATGATTATTTTGCTGCCCACATTGCAGGTTCAAGGCTGGGCAAAATAAGATATTAAATGATAGGTAGCAGCAGTCCATATTCTGCAGCCCCTTCCTAATGGCAATCAATTATCTATCATAAAGTTCTGGCATTTTAGGGAATCCTTTGATTTTTAGCAAATACAGAAATGTAGCCAATGATATACTTGCTAGCCAAGCAAAGATATTTTAAGTAACAAGCGGCATCTGCGGAAACCTAGCGACAGGGAGTGAAGACAGGGTCACTGTTTAAAAAAAAATCTATTCAGGTGGAATCAAACTGAACTAGAAAAATAGTTTCTTACTGTAAGAACTGTACAGAAGACTGCTTGTGCTTACATGCCAATAGCCCTCACCTCCATGGTGTACTTTGAAATACGTTATAGGCGTATATAAGTTCCTAAAGGCACAGTTCTGCATTGGGACTCTACTGCAAAAGTCATTTAATTCACTTCAGTTTGCAAAAGCATTTCATCATTCTTCAGATAGATGCAAGATAAGTATTATTTGTATTTCACACGCTAATCTCAGGGTAATGTACTTTGTGTTTGTTTGTTCTTTTGTACGGTGGTTAGAAATAAAAAGAGGTTTTATTGTTTAAATACCTGATTTGCCTGAACTGCCAAATATAGTAGTCTATCAGATTTGTTAGGATTTATAGAACAGGCTGGCGAACAGAACACATACTAATGTTTTTAAAAGTCTTTTTGAAGAGTTATTATTACTGCTTTGTTGTAGTCGATGTTTTTGATTATATTATTGCATCAACATTTCTGTAATATTTTTTGCTTTATCAAACATTTTCAGACTGGCACTTCCCCTCATGCTTGTGCCTAGGGCTGGAGGTGAAGGGAGGGTGGATGAGAACCTTTAGGCTTCCAGTCTCAACAGAAGTGAAGGCCTAGACCCTCAGCTAGCATCAGCCAGCGCAGGAGTTTTGATGATCATATAATGATTCTGTTTAAGATCTGACCTAGTAAACACAAGGTTTAAAAATCTGTATGTCATCAAGTATATAGAATTCCGTATTGGCCACATTTCCTCCTTGGAGAAGAAACGCCCTACCCTAGCGAATGCAGTAGGAGTTTCGGCAGAGTTTGGCATATGGCATCCTGCCTGCCAACTACCTGAAAGCCAACTAGATGTGCCCTTGTTACACCACCGTCCCTCAGGTATCCCTTAAAGCACTCAAGCTGAAAAGATTCCAGTACAAAGACATCGTGGTAGTTTGTCATTGCAAGAGAACGAAAATCTTTTTTTTGAATCGTGCTATTAATTAATCCAACAATATATTGAAATAATTGAAGTGTTAACATAAAGATTTAGAGAAAAGCAAAACATTAGCATTTAAAATTTTTAAACAAGTGAGGGGAAACAGATGTAAAGCCAATAGAATGTCATCATAGGACATCATACTATTTCTCTGCCTTTGAATTCACTCATGACCTGAACAGGATGGATTCTCTTCTTTGCAGAACCTTTTCTGACAGCTGCATAGATTTCTTCTGGCTTCTCTCTTTTAATTAGAGGCTTCTTCTCTGGAGCTTTCATTCTCCACATAACAACAGGATGTCGTGGGCCAGTAGGACTCTGAATCTTGATAATCTTTGTGGACGCAATATAGGACATCTTTACTGTCTGCACCACAGCATTCATTAAATTTTTGGCAGCCTGAATTAGCGAAGTGACACTGTCCAACTGTAATAAGAAACAGAAACATTATTCCAGGATAGGAAAGCAAGTCAGTCTTTAATCACAATATGGCCAGGAATAAAAGCAGTTAAAAAGTAAGATTAACATACTGAAACCTAATTATTTTTGTTTTCTCTTACTGTGTTTGGTAATTATATTCATGTTGTTCAGCTACTCAGCTTTGAACAGATATATGGAAATATCATGCTGTTGATATATAAATGCTTACATAGATTATTTTTTTTAACGTGAATTTATGATTCTTGTCTACAGGGTATCACTGCAATTCCTACTGATGTGTAATGAAACTGCCTTGAAGAAGAGCTATGAAAATGCTACCCATTATTTCCTTTCCATCAGCACTCGGCAAATTCTTCAGCTGTTCCCATCACATTCCAGACTTCCTCGCATGTTCCTGAGTAAGACAAGGATGCTACCTAGTAAGTATCTGAATTCATTAGAGCAGTGGCCAAGTTTGTTTAATGGTCATTAAGTGCGGGGTGGTACACAGAGATCGAAGTGGCTCCTCTGTCCTGTCTAGACTTTTTGAGCAATCCCAGACTAAAAGGGCAGAATTTGTAATGATTGCTTGCTTCACCTATAACTGTATTCAGCAGCATACTGCATTTAACAAACGTTAAAGACATCTTCCTTTAATATTCTTGTAAACAAAAGCATATTTAATTCTAATTGAAAATCTACTACCTGGAACAAAAATGGCAGCATTCATTGGAATATCAGCTCTGCTATGGTCCTCTGTAGCGTAACATAAATGAAGTGATTATGCTGCTTCTTTCATACATGTGAGCTTGTAGGATTAATGGTGTATAAGCGGTGGAAGCAGAAAATGCAGTGGACATGCTCACTGTCTCACCTAAAGTACCTCAGCCCCTCTGCCTTTGGCAGCCTTGATAGGGCAAATAGGGAAAAGGGGAGATTCTCAATGAGAGTTGTACCAGTTCCTAACCTCAGTTTTAGGACAACATGTAAGCTTCAAAGACATGCCCTATTTTAGATTTGAGTACACTGTGCTCTTATGTACTGAAAACATATTGTCTAGGTATACTTAGAGGAGCATGTGTACTGACACTAAGGAAAGCTATTACAGTTTGGGTGATCTAAAAATATTAGGATTGCTCTGTAGGAGTTGGAAGACTGTATTTCAAAGCTTGAATGCATTCTGTGGCAGTTGAATCATTTCTTCTTAGAAAAGTAGTGCAGTCAGTTCCCTTGAGAACCATCAGTTTTGGCAAAAGAATAAGCTTCAGCTCTGTCATTCACCCTTACTTACTGCATAGTCTTTTTTTAATTTGTTGGAATTACTACAATACACAGATTTACAAATGAAACTTAGTATACCTTATGAGTCTCCTCCCTTTACCAAGGCAAACAAATTCATTAGTTGAGAGGAGTGCATTATTTTCTGTATACAGGGTGATCATGTAACACTTTATACAAAGACATGTAGGTGCAAATAGGGCAACAGTAATGTATCTGAAAGTCAGCAAAGGGCTGAATTTATTTGCATTTTTGAGAACACCTCTTAACCAGGGGAAAGCTCCTCCAGTTATTTGCAAGTTTGTATCTTCTCTCTAGAAAGCCACATAGTAACTCACCTTTATACTGTTTTTTTTTTTAAACCTTCCCTTTAGAGAGAAAATAATTAGAATAGCTGAATGCCCATGTGCTACATGGCAAACTGAAATTAAAATGTAATTCAGGAAACAGTGTTAAATTCAAAATATGGTTTATAAAGTTCATTCTTGCTGCAGCATGTGAAATTTTCAGCAAGTATTTCCAGTTTATAAGAGTTGTATAAGCTTTGCAGATCAGTATTTAGAGACTAAGGTAAGACTATTAGAGCCCATTGTTTATAAACATTAACTTCAGAGAAGCAGACTGCCTAAGTCCCAGCTAGGCTCAGAAATCCAGAGTTCTTGTGATGCTCTGTTAGTAAAATTCAATTACTAGTGAAGTGTCGTGATTGCTTGAGCAATCTACAACTAGTGTTGTAGCCATTAGCCCCTGGTGCGGGAGCATTCTCCCATCCCTATTTTAAACTACTGAGAAGTCCCCATCTGCCGGTTGCAGTCAGTTAGATGGAATGAGAGCAAATGAGACAGTGATAGAGCACGAGAGCAGTTTCGTATAAACTTTTCCTTTCGTGATTGTTGTGCACATTCACACACAGACTTTTTAATTAGCTGTCCAATGAGGCAGCTGAAAATAAACCTTTTTGGTGACCTCAGGGGGGTTGCTAGGCCCCTGAACAGCTGACACAGCCAGAATATTGGCAGCTCTTTAGGCGCTTATAGTAATCTTTACTTTTTTATAACTCCTGACGTTGGTGGCATCGCTCTCACTTTTCTGAAGTTATCTGTATAGTAATAGCAGAAAAAATCCCAAAGGGTAGTTTGTTTCCATGGAAGAAGTTTTATTCTGGCCTGTAGGGCATTCTTTTTTTTTTTTTTTTTTTGTAAAGTGTCTGTTTGACTTAGGAGTATAAAACCTTTCAATTTTTATTTACAGTAGCCTCAAGTTGATGGGAGGCAGGCACATTGGGTAACCATCTGGTTAGAGGAGTTTGTGGCAGTCCGGAGACTGCTGCTCCTGAAGCAGGGAGGGAAAAAAAGCTGTTCGCATGGGAGAAGACTTTTGCAAGAAATGGGTAGCAACTTCCAGGCAGTGTCCCTGGGGACAAGGTTGTCCCTTGTATTTCAGCCAGCTTTTACTGTGACTCTAGGTTATATTGTCAAATATGTGTAACAAAATGAAATCTTTCTAAGAAACAGTTGGGGCTTTTGGCATTTCCTCTTCTTATGAAAGCCAAACAGTTATTATCCAGTTCTGGCATTCACAAAAGGGCTGTGGTCTCCAACAATCCACAGGGCTCTAACCACAGCACCTACATATGTTTAGAATAAAGGAATAAGTAAGATTCATAAATCTCTTATTTTGTTGAAAGCGCAATCTCTACAAATACACAACTTTTGCCTCATGTATAAGCATATCAGATTGCTTATAGTTTGACTCAATGGCGTGGGGCATGGATATGTATCAGCCAAGGTATTTTAAATACTGAAACCCAGCCGTGCAGATGTACCAAGTCCAACTCACTGAATTTCACTGACTCCTTGCCATAGGAACTGAAGCTCTGCCATACTATTTAAGCTCTACAGATCACTCCCCGAAACAGAAATCAGCATACAGAAACAGGTATGGGAAACACAGTTATAGGAAACAGGTCCTGTGTGCCTCTGAAGTTAAAAGCAAAATATCTAACTACCACAAAGGCTGTTTAAATCAGTTGTCTTGCTGCGTTTCCTGGGGAAGAGGGGACAGAAATTTCTATTCATTTTACTTTGCTCTAGACATCTCTGAATGGGAAACTTAGGAAGATTTACTGCCATCCTTTAGGATATCTGTGTTATTTGCAGTGTCTTAGAGTCCACAATTCTGCTCAGTGTTCCAGATGCATCTCACATTGGTCTTACTTCCATATGGAAAATACAGATAGTGCAAGGGGAAAAGAGTTGTTAACTGCATACAAAGTTTTGAATAAATTCTAGGATATACTCTTGGGACTACCACCAGTAAGCATCAGGTCATCATTTTACTTCATCCTTTTTTTTTTTTTTTCTCTGTCTCTAGAAAGCAGTTTGTTTTATACTTCAATGCCAGTAACATTAATCTGATGTAAATCTGTTGTCCTACTATAAATCTAATGTACTCAAGGACTGTTTTCAGTTGGATGCTTTTATCTCAGATATTCAGCGGGCTCTTCAAGGTCTCATAACATACGTAGGAAAATGGTGAAATGGAGCTTGGCATAAATGAAAGATTGATAAAATATTCATTGAACGTTTAAGTTCATTTTATTTAGAGACCTGTAGCTGCAAACTCTTCCATCTGTAGCAAGTGGTATAAAGAGTCACTAGCAGCACAAGCAAACAAACCCAATAAACAAGAGGCTGCTTTTGATTGACTCTTCTCTCCACTTCCTGTTCAGATGCAATGCTCCAGCCACCACACAAGTCAGACTGTATCAGTCAAGACAGTAATTTGTGAAGAATTCACGAAAAGCTTCTCTTGTCACCTGTCAGTTGCTAATTAGCAAGTATCACTGCACATTTCTGCTGTAAAGAGGAATACAAAATGACTACCTAACCACAACAGCTTCACCTTGTAGTGAACACAGGCCAGCAGACACAAGTTTTCAAAGACTGTCTGTGAGCAGCTCCCTTGTCATCTCCAACACACTCAGTCTTCTCCTTTAATGGCTCATAGCATTTAATATGACCTACCTTTTCCTAACAGATTGGCATGACATATAAACACACTCAATGGCAAAGCTTGTAGGTGCTGTGTGTGTGGCTTGAAAAAAAGATATATACACACACACACACGTATATGTGTGTGCGTCTATATACATACAATGCTTCTACGTGTATATATAAACATATCTTTATTTTCCAAGAATGAAGTGTATTTAATCAGAATTCAAGTGAACAATTTTAAAATTGCCACTGAAAAGACAGTGGAGTTTAGAAAATTTTAATCTTGAAATTTTGTTTTCAGTTTGTTTATGTCATCTATGGTTTCTATTTTTGTAATAGAGTTTCATGTCTTTGCAGTAGTGGAAGTCCATTAATAGGTATCTCTCCCTCCTGTGGTTCACAAATGTAGCAGTATAATAATGGTTTGTTTAAAGATTTAATATTTAGAATGTTTGGGAGAGGCATGACTATAATTTAAGGAAACTTCTCCTTAGTTGAAGTATTTGCTGTTCAGTGTGTTAAGAGAAAGTACTTGCCTTGTCATATGCCAGTAGGAATTGTTTCTGTAGCAGTTAAATAAATAGAGAATTTCCTTATTCCCAATGCATGTAAATAAATCAATCCCCTGCTCTTGTGATTAATGCTGATTTATATACATGCTGTCTCTGTGACATGAAGAAATAGCAAACATTTGCTTTTTGGAATAAAGCTATGAGAGAATCCTGCAAAGCGATATTCACCAACATTTCTTGATTAAGTGCAGATCTGCTAGAACACCAGCTGAGATGCTCAGTTAATCTTCAGTGAGCATTAGTGGGTTTTTTGTTCATTTGTTTTTCTTTGCTTTTGATGTTTTTTATTTTATTTTTATTTATTTTGCAAGGAACTAAAACTTTATTATTCAAGAAAAGGTCTATGAACTGGCTGCTTACAGTCTCCCAAGTCCTAATTACAGTTCAACCAATTTTGTTTTCCTGCAGATGAAAACCAAGAACTGCCTATCAAATATACAAGTCTTTATTCAGTGTTTGAGGTCAGAATTTTAAAAACTTTTGGGAATAGGTCAGCTACTGAAACTGATGTAAAACAGCTTCCCTGCAGTAGCTCAGCGGCACCTAAGCTCGCACAGGCAGCAAGCTCCTCCTGGTTTCGCACGTAAGGAAGTTCTCATAAAAGGAAAATGCTTTTAAAAAAGCAGATGCCCATCACAGCAGGTGTCCTGCTGCATGCACTGAGGGGGATACACTGAGACAGTGTGAAGGTAAAGCAGCACTACCTGCGAGGGGTACAAGGACTGTCAGTTGCATATACCCAAAGCGCCCCAACTGCCCCACGTGGCCTGTAACACCTACACTATGAAAGGGTATGGAAGTTAATTTTAAATATGGACTACATCAAGATATGTTGGCTAAGGAGCACTACAGGGAAAGGTAATGACAAAGGCACAGAGGCCCCAAATGTAAAATAGGCAAAATAAGAGGACAACGTGTATCAAGTGTGAATGGCTGTTTCCTTAAATAAAGTCAATTTTCTTGTCAGCAGGCAAACAGAAGAACCCTTAAACTAATGCATTGTTGACCATTGCTTCATATTATATAAGGTTAAATTTGCAATATGATTTTATGCCTATTTTACTTTCCCTTCCATAGCTTTAACCAGCAGAGGATACTTATATGACAGATGATGTCACTTAGCTCTGTTTTGAAAGGACAATTCTATGTTGTGCAGATAGAAAAGACTGCGTCCTCTGTTCCTTATCTCTGTAATTGCATATGATTTTTCACCTACCTCTACTCCTTCTTGGGAGGAAAAAAAAAAAAGAAAACTTAAGCATTCAGTGAGACCTATTGAAATCAGAGACCTTCATGCACAATTTTTTGGGAGGGGTGGAAGAAAGACGTCTTATGTTCAGTGGGTTATGGCTGGATTTGTGGTCCATCATCAGCTTTTAGGTCCAGCATTCTCACTCTGTGCAGCAAACTTCCTTGCCCACACGTGACCATAAGCTGATGTTAACCATCTGTTTGTAAAAATCTCTTATTTCCCACAAGCAAGGAGGTATTGTCTCTGCTCTTCTGACCACACGCACTTATCACTGGGAGATGTGGTAGACTTACCAGAGGGTACTGCAAGGAGCAAACAACAGACAAACAAGTGATGAGCAAGCATAAAGCAGCTGAACCTTGAGTGTGCAGCTATGGGAGTACAGAAGAGAGAAATCACAGGGAAGGAGTGAAGGCAAAGAGGTAACCTCCAAGTATGTTTACTTTCTGTCTAATATACTTCCTAACACACTTCCTAACACACTTTTTTTTTAATAATAAATCTTCACTATCTAAAGACGGGACACATTTTCAGTTGATTTTGAGATTCATGATGTATGTGTTTACTTCATACATAATGAGAACTTAATTGTGAGCAAAGACATTCCCTCTTTTTCTTAACCATGCCTTATCTCTCTCCTCTGTTACTCATTCCTTAGTAGCATAAACAGAGAAGATCAAGGTTGGGAAAAATATTATCCTATCCCAGATATAGTTCTGAACCCCTAAAAGAGATGATTTGCTTTTCTCCTCCGGGAACTTTACTGAATTTTGAGATTTGCTCACATAAAATAATCAGTAGTGTTGCATAGCCGTAAAAAGCCTTTAAATAGAAAGGTCAAATTCTAAAAACCCATACTGACTTTCAAAGCCAGAATTTGCTCCAGGTTTAGCAATTCAGTAATCATTAACTGTCTGTCATAAGTGAATTTCTTTTCCCCTAATCCATATAAAATATTTCTATTTTCCATATTCTTGTCTTTTTTTTTTTCAGGCTTAAAACAATATATCCAAACAGTTCATTTAGATATAGATTAGGACCAGCCTTATAAGAAAGCCAGTTTGGTTTGACTGCATTTTATTTGAAAAGACAGCTGAGCATAGACCTTTTCTTCCCAACAACAGCCATTTAGACAAGCGGGAAAATATAAATTTTACAGCTTAGTTATATAACTACTGATGGAACATTTTCCAAGATTTTCTTCTTTAACAGAATAAGAACTCAAATTTAGACCATCTTACCTTGACTCAGCAAAATATTTCCAGCAATGTCTAGGACTAATGTTCTCCTAATTTTTACTGACTTAAGGACCTATTTAACCACATTTATGGAACAGGGACTGACTTAAGCATCTATTTAAACAAGTAATTAACTGCCTTCCTAATTTGGGGCCTCTGGATGTAACTCTAATGCAACATAATATACGTCATCATCCTCCTCACTTTAAGCAGGCTTATGATACGTAACTATCCCTCTAGGTTTCTAAATGAAGTTGATTTGGTTTTGATTTTTAGAATTACAACTTCTGGACAAAATTACATACTTCCACTATAAATTCATGGGTGACACAATAAAATGATACAGAACGTCATCAGTGTGAGGAGAAAAAAGTCAGCAAGTATACCATCCTTCCAAAATGCCTTTTAGTGAGTCCAGCAATTGGTTACTTAGTAATAAAAACAAGGTAAGTAACAGGACAGTTTGTATGTAGCAGTCCATATGCTAATTTTTGTAGATCACTGATCCATTTGAATCCATACCTGGCTAACGTAGTGAAAAAGATTAAGTCACATGTAACTTATAATCTGCAAGAAGCTATATCTTTTAGCTAGTTTCGTAAGGAAATAAGGCTTAGCTTTTTGTGGTGGGTGTTTGTTCGTTTGTCAGTTGTTCCTCCCAACACGCACGCACACACACAAACTTTTTAGTTATCTCAGGTTTTCAAGTTTCGCAGAGGGGTAGGAATGCCAAAGATGTGCAATAAATCTTTACCAGATCACAAAATCGGAGAAGACCCCCAAATCAGTGGTTGTGGCAAGGAAACGGCAGGAACAGCCCGATGCTGTTTAGTTCCAAGCTCCTGTGGCACCCAGACAGGCAGCCCAGGATGCCCAGTTACTGTCTGCAAGTTCTTAAGCTGCCTGCACTGGCACTGCTCATTGCACAGCAGAACAGCTGTGGTAGCGCTGGAGAGCTCTACCGTAACTACAGGGCGCTGGCTCCATCCTGCTCAGAGGGAGCATATTAGAAGCTGAGAAACTGAGGGAAAAAGCTCTGAGGAAGAACTTATGTTCAGGAAAATGGGAGAGTTGTTAAGTACTGAAGCATGGGCTCAAAGCATGGGTAACCATGTGGATTTTGTGCTGTGGGACCACAGAGGGGTGACAGACAACATGGGGAAGTTGAACTAAAGTGCTGATAGCAGGGGACAGGATGCAAAGGGCAGGAAAGTATGAAATCTGGCCTCGCTAATGCACATTGCTCATGGAATTGCTTGTAAAAAGAAAGAAGAAATGAATAATGAAGGCAAATTTGATTAATTTATAATCCAAATGAAACCAGCTGTTCACTGCAGAAAGTATAAAGTCATCTGATTTGAAATCATGTCTCTGTAGGTTCCAGAAGTTTAAGTACTGTCTCAGAATTTTCATTCGAAAAATATCTGAGTTTATAAAAATCAATTCCTTTCAAATCTTGTGTCAGCAATAGAGGGTTTATTTCTGATTAGATTATAAGCCAAATAATAAAACATACTAATAGCTCTGTTGATTTTATATATTCAAGTCTTAGGTGAATGTGACATTATTATAAGAAGAAAATATTAAACAGTAAGAATGCGGGCTAGGAAACATCTTTTTGTTACTTTCTGCATTATTTAACAGATGTATACATTTTGAAATCATGCATGCAGTAGGGCACAAATAATTAAACAATTAATGAATATGTTGTAAACACTCAGAAAAGGTGAAGGAATATTTTGACTGCATACTTCTGGGTGTAATAAGGGTGTAATGTGTTTTCTATGGTTAACTATACTATCTAGCTATAACAGAGATAATGACTCCTAATGCAAATCCAACCAAGAATCGAGTAACCTTGCCCTTAATTTTCCTAGGTTCTGTAGGGATGTGTCCCTCTTGCATATCACAGCGGTCAATCTAGAATATCTTTTGGCATTTTCTTTGGAACTGGAAGTACAACTCAGGTGACTGCACGCTCATACACACTCAAGGGTGCTTTACATATGTGAGAAAAAAAAAAAAAGCCAAAGGCACACTATCACAAAAAGACTTAAAGGTTTTTACAAGAATATGCCCATACTGGAGGTAATCAAATTACTCCATAGGAACAGTACAGAATAATAATGTTTTGAGAAATAAAAATATGCAAGTCATTCCTGTTCCTTTTAAGTTACCAGCCTTATGCTTTATTGCCTTACATGTTCCGTATAAAGTGAGTATAAAAAACGATGGGGAATACAAGAAAAAAATCAGGTCTACACTGGAACATTTCACAAGCAGAACAAATGGACTTGATTTTAGAAAATTTCATTTTGACTAACAGAGGAAGTAATGTATGCTATTTTTCTACTTACAGCAGACATGATGAGCTCTCCACCCAGACTCTGGATTTCTGCTTTAACTTGACTGCAGATTTTGAGCTGATGGGAGTACAGCTTGATCTGTTCTAGGTAAGCCAACAAGTCATGTTTGCATGATTGGTCTAGGCACTAAATTAAAAAAAAATTGATAAAACATTTTATTAATTGCTGTTCAAATTTTTATCCCTGACATCAGGTTTGTATTTCACTAAAGAGTGCACTGATTACACTAATTCAGTAGTTGCACACCAGGGTAGTTGCACACCTGCTTCTCACTGCAGCTGCATCATGTTGAATAGCTCACTTCTTTTATAAAGCTTTTAAACAAAGTGGAGAAGTTGAGAATAATCCCAGATTTACCTATGCTCACTTTTTCTTGCTTTAACAATTATTCTAATAATATTAGAATACAACAACATTAATATTTATCCCAAGTTATACTTTCTTTGCCTTAATAATAATGATCTACAGTTTTTGTGCTTCCTCATGAGTTTTTTCTACTCAAAGGCAGATCATCAGTATCACTGGGTACCAGTTGGCAGGTAAGAATGTCTTAGAGTAGATTCACTACTATCAATATTTTATAACATTTTCCTGCCCTCAGTTTTCCAGACTACTTGAAGGGAAATACTGCTCCGTGATGAACAACCTAGTCACATAAGAGCTGGCATGCATTTGTTCTAAAGTTGCTTTTCATTGCCCTGGCAGAATAAAGGGTTCTTAAGGTGAATGGTGAGTCCCTACTGTGCTACCACAGCTGTAAAACCTGGGCAAGATATAAATAAAAAATAGATCCCTACAGTTTAGCACGTGTGTATTTTTATCTTTTATGGGCTGCATTTATACTAGAAATATGGTCATATTCTTCAGATAGGAAATTGTGTTTAGCTTTGTATATTAAAAAGAAAGGTATGTTTCCACCAGCTACAGTGGGAACAACCATCTACGGTTTTATCCACTTAGACCTTTTGGGCTTGTGATATTGTCATCCACGCGTGGTTGTTTTGAAATCCAGGATGTAACAAAACTCAGAAAAAGCATCTATTCTACTCTGTTTGTTTGTTAACGCTTCATGTAAACTACTGACTTTGCTGAAGAATTTTTTTCTGTTTACTGTGGGGATGTGAGTATTCTACTTTTCATGACTATGTAATGGAATATACATGTTTGGTCAAGAAGCAAACAAGCTCATGTTTTGGACTTAGAAAAGTTGGAAATGTAAGTGAACAAATTTTAATTAAATAACTAATATGAATTACATGTCACTCCTTAATTTATATTTTGTTAGACTCACTACAAAAAATGTGTTTTGAATTCTGGCATAGTTCAGGAGAAAAGCAGAAGAGATTCTTCTCATCCTCTCTTTCTCATGTGGGTTGTTTTCAAAAAATCAGCATATGACAGAAAAAATATATTAAATATCCTTTTGTTTCTTTCTCATTCAATATGGCTTAATGTGGTAGGATGTTAACGAGGGCCTTCCACAAGAACAGGATCGGGATTGTTTTGAGTCCAGATGATACAGAAGTGTTTTATTCCTAACAGAAATAACGTCTATAGAAAACTTCCAAATGATTTGATAAATTATGCAGTGGTTAAAAACACAATGAAAACATCATTCACAGTCCAAGTGAAAAGGTATTTTCATTAGTCACTGGCACAGCAGAGGCACAAAAGATCAATACAAATAATATGGTAAGAAATTCTACCCATCATTCTTGCCTTACTTTGACTTCATAATTTTGCTAAAATAGTGTCATTTCATGGTGATTAATATTGGGAATACTGTGAATTGCACACAGACACATTAATAGGGATAGCTAGTAATATTTGATTGCACATAGATTGCAAATATTTGCTTACTCTAAGCTTTTACCTAACATCATCATGTAGTCAGATGTTGATTTAGGCACATATGGTAATCAGGTAATCATTTTAATTCACCAGGTAAAGGCATTTTAAAGGATGCCTTTTTAATTTTGCCTTCAAAACAAAGTTTTATATATGGAAAAACAGCTTTTACACAGGAACATCATGTGAGTCTGCAGAAAAAAAATTTTTCATACTGATCTCTAGATTTCTAGATTTAAAAGCAGATATTCTATTGCATGCTAAGGTTTTTAATGAAGATTTTAATTTATAACACAGTTAAAAATAAGATGTGCCAACTGTCTTTATATGGCTTTTCACATCACAAATTAGACAAGGAATTTGAAACAGTCTTATTTAAAACTACGTTTATTAACAATGTATTTGTGATTAATTTGCCTGAGTTGATGCCGTGCTGTGTTTATGTTCAAGTGCTGTGAGTATGGAGTGAAGCATAACAAAAACCTAGTAATTGTACCCCATTTTGTCACTTTTCTTTAAGCGCAGGAAGAGGGATTCATAAAAATTTGAAATGAAGGAGAGTGTATCAAAGAGATTCTGTCGAAGTAGATGATTTGTAAAATGCTCCAAACACAAGTTTCATAACAGGGAAAAATTGTATAAACTATGTTATGTATGTAGTTCTCAGTTTTGTTTCTCTGAAATTACATGGTCTGAAAGCTGATCATTTGAATCTGCTTTATGAACTAGAAAAGGTCAAAGAGATACAGCAGTGATTCTTCATTTTACAAGTGCTTATTTCAGCATCTTGCTCCAGTTCCAAAGCTTGGATCAAGGAAATAAGAGCAGGGTTTTGTTTTTCTGATTTGCTTGTAATTTTGAATACTTAAAAATGTTGTCATATTTTACTGTGTATGGTCTTGTTAAATGCAAAGGTATAGCTATGGGACAACTGTTAACAATATAGTGATGTGGTCTCAATGAATGAGAACTTGAAGTGATTTAAACTAGTCTAAGCGAAAGAAGCAGCTTTCTCATCTACAGAGTAAGCTGTGAAAAAGTATCTAAGAAGTATGTGCATGAAGAATGCAGGGGCATGTATCTTTTAACAATTACTTGAATAGTGGTGTGTCAAGGCAAATTTGACTCTCAGGAGCAAACAATACATGCAAATCATTGTTTTTAGCTGAAAAAAAAAATCCACATAGTCTGACAGTGACGAAAAGGTGAAATATTTCCCCTAAAAATACGGAAACCTTAATGCCATTTAAAAGGACATTCATGAAACCTCATTAGAATTCATGTTTGTGCCTGGTCACCATTCTGAAAGGTTATGAACCAAATTCAGAGAACAGCTATAAGCTTGCCCAGAGGACTGGAAAGTTTCTCTCTCTCTTTTTTCAGGACGCTAGAAAAACAGAGTAGATATAATTTTGCAAAGTAATATTTAAAAATATCAATTATTGTTCTTTAAAAATACTTGAAGATTTAAAAAAAATGAGAAAAGAGTTCTGTAACTTAAAGGATGATTTGGCACAAGAAAAGAGATGTAGTTAGAAGCTTAAGATTACTAGCCATCAGAGGAGTATAAGGATTTTTTGCATCTTTGCAACAGAAAGAGTAAAGGGAAGATTTTCACTGACTCTGACAGATGGCTTGCAGTGATTACAGCTGTGTTCACAGCAGAGGTATTGGACTTCAGGAAGTTTGGAAGAGAGTGGCTATTATCAGGGTACCATGGTCCTAAAAGGGAGTCACAAAAATGACAAAAGTAACTGAACTTTCTGGACAGTCTGGCCCCAAAGCAATCTTACTTTTTTTTTTTTTTTTTTTTTGCAGATGATTGCCTGTGAGGGTTGTGTATTGTATTAATTTGCTCAGCTACTATGCTTTCACCTTCACAAGGAAAATGAGCGTACTTACGGATTTATGTAGATCCTGGCTTGTTTTTTTTAGCTGAGCTGTGTAAAGCTGTAGTAATTCAATAGAAATTAGGTCAACCTCTTAGTGGCATCCTGTTGCATTTGGACTAGTTTGCACAGAGCACCCCAAGATGAAGGGTATGTAACTAGGAGCCTTCAGTGGCTCTTGCATGTACCCATTCCTTCTTAGTTCAGATCAAAAATCTAGCTTTAAAATTTCACTTAATGTTGATAAAAGTTTTCATCTGTGACTTTTTAGTGCATTACGGTATAAATAACCTACCTGATTGGCAATCAGTCGTGCTAAGACATCCATTCTTGATCCTGACTCTGAAATCATTTTTGCTGCATTAATTACATCTGATGTGTTCTTCAGTGGGCCTCTACCCCTTCAAGTGAAACAAAGACTTTACTCATTATTCAATATTTTGTGTGTTACCTTCCAGTTCTGTGCCTTTAAATATTTAATACATTTTGTATGATTGGTGAATCACTATGTTTCAGTGCATGCTGTCTTCTAATAATAGGTGCACCTGTGCACATTCTAAATTTACAGTTTTCCTGAATTAGCAGTGGAACAACAGAGTCAGAATGCCATCAGCTCAGAGTAACTCCTTTACTCCAGATGTTAGAGACACAAAAATCCATTAACTCTACTATTTTCCCAGCCAGTAGACAGATTCTTACCTGTTTTATATGTACTAGTATTTTGTCTGTCAAGTTTTAAGTATGAAAAAACCACTTTGCTTAGTAGTCTGTTTTGCCAAGTTATAAATCTCACTGTGTGGATTATTTTTCACATATACTTAGTTCTTCTGTCTTGTCATATCTCCATGTAGATGCTCATGGGTCTGGTTTTGCTCCTTGCATGAAAGATATAATTCATCTCTTCCTCACACTTCACTATTTTTAAGCACTAAAGGCTTAATAGGGCTATGTGAACAAAACCAAGACACAAAAGGACTTCATATAAATCTGTGTGTTGTGTACTCACACACACACATGAAGACTGATCTGGTATTTCAGTAAGTTCTTAGCTTGCATTGCATCTTCTAAAGTCAAACAATGTTATGCATAAATACTTGAAACTGTTTAAGCTATTTACCAAGCTTTGGCCTTTATGCCATACCTGCCACAATGCAATGTGTACAAAGTGAAATTGGATTTTAAAATAGGGCAGTAGATGGTAACTGTGATTAGTTGGGGTTCTTCACCACCGTCTGCCATTTGGGGTCCTTGGAAATACTTATGGGTAATTTATGTAGATAGTCAAGGCAAATCATGTTACTTCCACCGACTATAAAACTTTTGCCATAATCTCCATTTATGAAACTGCAGCGAAGCCAAGCAGTGGGGACAGAAGAATGTTCTCTATGTAATGCTATGTATTGTGTTTGTCTCAAATGTATCTTAAATCACAGTCATTCAAAATCATCATCCACATCTCAAAAATTAGAAGACTGGCCTAAAAGTATGTTATTTGGATGCCTTTTCTAATGCATTTTGAGCTCTTTTTTTTCACCCTAGCCCTGAGCATACACTAGTTTTGTTTTCAACCTTTTCATCTATAATCATGAAAGCCTTTTTATCACCAAGCTTTGTATGACTCGCAAGAGAGGCCTTAGTACAGGCAGCTCCACTGCCTAACACAGGTCAAAAGAGTAAGGGTTATGGGAAAAAAAGAAACTTGTGTTGCTAGATACAGAGGAGAACGGGGACAACTAGCAAAGCATGGATTTATTAGAATACTCCCCTCACAGGCAAGGAAAAGGGAAGCAATTTTAGTGTGGCAAACTCAAATAAATGCTAGGGTACGTAATGTAATTAACACATTTTATAGGAAAAATACAGGAAGTACTCAACCAAAAATTGTTTTATACATGCACCTAGCACATCTTCTGTATCATTGTGACAGATGTTTATTAATATGGATATTTAATCATATTGCTAGGTTGCTAATGGCTCAGTAATTCATTTTCTAAATACCCTAGTTTAAGTTTCTGATTATATGCTAAAAAAAAAAATCAAAATATTTTTAAAGCATGACTTATTTGCCTCTCCATGGCCTCAGGAAAGCACCATTAACTTGTAGCAGTGTTTCAAAAATCATTGTATGGTTCTGTCATTACAGTATGTATGGTTGTGTTTATAGTATGTTTTCTGTATCCATGATTTGGGGTTTTCTTGTTACAACTAGTATGAAGATCAGCTAAAGTGAATGGAAATGTATTTTGATACAATCAGCATCTCTTGAAAGGATGTATTCTATGGTAAGACTGGGGGCCACTCAACAGGTGGCTTATTTGGAAATAATGGTGTATCAAACACAACACAATACCACAAAGCTGGTAATCCCACTTTCTAATATCCCAGCCATTAATTACTGATGCCCACCACACTTTGTACTGAACTTCATTACTTAAATATTCTTTGTTGCCAGATTTTCTTCTCAAAAATCTAAGCTGTCATGAAGATACTGATAAAGCTAACTATTATGTGTATGGCTAACAGATGATGAGCAGGTAGGATTAGAGTGCAAGCAGATTTTGAGTTCCCTTGATAATTCCCATACCATTAATTTTAGTGCCCCTTTCTACTAGACATAGTGGACACTGACAAGTTGTCATTTCATGTGACACTGCCACAGAGTCAGACTTGCAGGCAAGAAAAGCTCCTGAAAGTGTTGCCCTGGAAACCAGGTAGGATCTAATTCCTTGAGATCAAAACAAGAACTTTTTATAGCTAAAATATCACCTATGGCACCTATTTGGTGCCTTTCAGGAAATCTCTGAGTAAAAATAATGAATGCATTTTACTTCCTTTGCTGGAATTGCCTGATGGGTATATCCAGAAGAAGCCATTTCAGTCCTAGGAAGTATCTCATGGCTACACTACTTGAAGAACTCTCCTTGAAAAAAGTAACAGGATGTATTTTAAGATGGTAGACAAAAGAGAAAAACAGTATTACACATAAAGAGCAGTTTTAGAAACAACTGTATGGCATACCCACTAGTCTACAGTGACAAGACCAAAAGCACCCATTTCTGCTGTTTATAATAACGTCCTGTTGATCTGTACACCTGCCTCCAACAAGTGTTTCTTTTTCTGAACATTTAATACTGATTGTTAGGCAGCCACATCAGGCACGATCTGCATTATCAAGTTCACAAACTCTGCCTTGACACTTAAACTGTGTTTGTATTCCATAAACACTAGCCAGGTCAACAGTGCAGCAATTGTCATTTATCAGCTTTTTTCATTCTTAGACAATGAACAGTCAAGAGAAGTGCTGGTGTGCATCATATTTTGGATGTCATCGATCTCTTGTAGAAGCAGGAATAACTTTTAATCTAATCAATGTTAAAATCACATTAAAAATTAATGGTAGTATTTTTTGTGAACTTCCTGGTTATAATTAATTCAGTCATGTGCCTACACTTCCAATGAAAGGGAATATAAGGGCTGATAACTTCAAAAGTTTCTGGTCTTTATTTCTTGGGAAATCTCCAAAGGCTTCTAATTTCTACTGATTAATGCAAGAGGATCCTGAACATATGGTGTTGCAGCCAAAAAAAATATAGCATGTGCAAAGTGGAGCAGATAAATACATTCCATACAAATAAGCTACATTTTTAAGGAAAAAGTTAGAGCAAAGTTCCTTCACCTTTTTTAATGATTATTTCTTTTAATGGTTGTTTTTGTAGCAGACATAATTCGTTGTTTTAAAAAACAATGGCTTGAGCAACATAAGCAAAACAAGATTTGCAAGTACAAAAGGCTAGTTCATTGCAATCCCCCACTGGGTGAGGTCAAAAAATGGATGAAGGAGACGCTGCGCCCATGGTCCCAGACTAATGATCCAGCGCAGGACCCCACTAGTCCCTGCCTGAGATTCCTGTGTGTAGGATTGAGCCCGGTTTCTGGTCAGACTTGCTGGATGGGCCTTGGCCCTGTTGTGTAGATTTGCTCCTGGAATGACCCTGTCACCTATGCAGTGCAAGTAAGTTTTCCACACCTTTATACTCTCCATTCACATTTTTTTTCACACCTCTTATGTCAGACTTTTTAAACACCCTATTCAAACCATTTTTAACATACATCTTTCATCCCATTTCCACACTTTTACAGTGTCCTTATTTCACACGGTTTGGCTATTTATGCCACACATTTTACACAACGTTTTCCAAGCATTTTGAGCTTTTTAGTTCCACTTATTCCACACATTTTTTTACACCTTTTCCACATGTGTCCTCCTGTTTCCCAGTATCTCCACACCTCTCTGCCTGCTTATTCCACGCACCTTTACATTCTTTTCCTGCCACACCTTTTTCAAGCCCCTTTCACACCTTCTTTTCTACTTAATTCCACATCTATTTCACACATTTTCCATGTCTGATTCACAGTCTTTTCAGAACCTATGCACACGTTCTTGGCCTCACATTTCACACCTTGTGTGTTCACACCTTTATGACCACTTATTTCACACTCTATTCGCACCTTTATGACCTCTTATTTCACAGCCTAGTCACCCCTTCCTGGCCTCACATTTTTACAACCCATTCACACCTTTATGACCTCTTATTGCACACCCTTTTCACACCCTTGTTTCACACCTACTCACACCTTCGTGGCCTAGCATTTCGCGCCCTATTCACACGTTCATGACCTCTTATTTCACACCCTATTCAAACTTTTATGACTCCTTATTTCACACCCTCTTCACACCATATTCACACTTCCATGACTTAACGTTTTTCACACCCTATTCACACCATTATGACTTCCTATTTCACACCCTCTTCACACCTTCGAGTGCTCACATTTCACACCCCATTCACACCTTTATGACTTATAATTTCACACGGTTTTCACACCCTATTCACACCTTTATGATGCCTTATTATTTCACACCCCGTTCACACCTCTGTGACTACAAATTACACACTATTTTCACACCCTATTCACACCTTCGGGGGGGGGGCGCTCGTATTTCACACCCTCTTCACACCTTTATGAACCCCTTATTTCACACCCCATTCACACCTCTGTGACTTCAGATTACACACTTTTCACACCCTATTCAAACCTTTATGACCCCCTTATTTCACACCCTTTTCACATCCCATTCACACCTTTATGACGTCTAATTTCACACCCTTTTCACACCCTATTCACACCTTTATGATGCCTTATTTCACACCCCATTCGCACCTTCGTGGCCTCGCATTTCACACCCTATTCACACCTTTATAACCTCTTATTTCACACCCCATTCAAACCTCTGTGACTTCAAATTACACACCATTTTCACACCCTATTCACGCCTTTGACCCCCCCATTTGCCACCCCATTCATACTTTGTAGCTTCAAATTGCACACCATTTTCACTCCCTATTCACACCCTTTTCGCACCCCAGTCACACCTCTGTGACTTCAAATTACTCACCATTTTCACACCCTATTCACACCTTTGACCCCCCCATTTGACACCCCATTCATACTTTGTAGCTTCAAATTGCACACCATTTTCACACCCTTTTCACACCCCAGTCACACCTCTGTGACTTCAAATTACACACCGTTTTCACACCCTATTCACACCTTTATGATGCCTTATTATTTCACACCCCAGTCACACCTGCGACTTCAAATTACACACCCTTTTCACAGTCCAGTCTTCACACCCTTTTCACACCCCATTCATACCTTTGTAACTTCAAATTACACGCCATTTTCACACCCTATTCACACCTTTATGATACCTTATTATTTCACACCCCATTCACACCTTTATGCTTGTTATTTCACACCCTATTCACACCTTTCTGGCCTCTTATTTCACACCATTGTGGCTTCTAATTTCACACCATTTTCTCACCCTATTCACACCTTTATGATGCCTTATTATTTCACACCCCATTCATCCCCTTTGTGGCCTCACATTTCACATCTTTATGACCAAGTAGTCTTTTATGAAATTGAAAGTGCATTAGAGTGGTTGTCATTTTAGGGCTGACCCACTTAATAAAATAGTTGATATTTTATTAATCACCTAATTTTTACAAAAAATACCTCCCGTTGCTGTCACTCATTTGATGGTAATTACTAAATATGTACTCTGCGCATATCAAGAAAAGCTTCTGTACCGGAAAAGGAAATTTCTGTGATCTGTAGAGTCAGAAACATCTCCTGTGAGAAGCAGAGGCTGGACCTTGAGAAAGCAGATGCTTGCCTGCCTAGGCTGGGTGATAAGGAGCAGGGATGCAGCTGCTCAGCCCGGTTCACAGGCAGCCCCCTCTACACAAACACGTGTCACCAGGGCAGGCCAACTTAACCGCAGATGGCCTCCAAACTAGCTTGGGAGGCCAAACACCCGGAAATGAGGAAGAGGAGGAGGAAGGCAGGACCCTCGAATTGAGGGCTGGGAGACCCCCTTCGGTGTGCGCGCCTGCGCACCTGGGGCCGGGAGAGTTTCGCAACTCGAGGCGGAGTTTGTCCGGGCTGCCTCCTGGGTCAGACTGACCCTACGTGCCAGGATGCACCGGGCATAAACGTGGACAGTGTAGAGAGAGCGGGGGAGGAGACACTCCTCACCATGAGGCCTACGTTGTCTCCACGGGAGCGGGGCAGCTATTCTCTCTCTCTGCTCTGCCAGCTCGAGAAGATGCTCCAGTCCAGATCGGCAGGTACCACCTCGTGAGTAGTTATCCATACTTTGCTTCTTTTATGTGCTTTCACCTGAATAAATGCTTGATGTAGTCACCTTGTTCTGCGTGATTATTGCCGAATCCCAAGCCCATCCGGAATAGCTTCAGAGAATTGTTTCATGTATACAATTATCACAGAGCATATATACTGCCAGCAGAGAAGTACACTCTTTGAAAGCTATCTATGATAGGACATTTTGTTCTTCAACACTCTATATAGCTACATAATACAGTTCCTGGGAAAGCAATGGCAGGCAATGTGGTATGAAATAAGCATCAGTCTCAATGTGCACTGCTAGACATATGCTCTATAGAATATATGTTTTATTCATCTCTGGATTATGCCACTTGCTTGACAGCATGCTATGGTACAAACAGAAATAATAACAGATGAGACAGAACTACAGCTTAAAATTGAGTTCTTAGATAACTCAAGAATTTACATTACTTTATCACCTTTCCCTTTCATTAAAGAGGAAAAATAAAGTCCTAAGAAATGTAAAAAAAGTTCCACAAACCAACCAAATTAGTAAATAAAGGAGAAAAGAGATTTAAGGACAAGCCTTGTTCAAAACTTCAAACCTCCCCCTTCCAGCATTTCCGTACTCCTATCTTATGTTGTTCAACTAATTACATTAGCTTAGTCACTCAATTTTATAAAGACACTGTCACCTGAGATTAAGAAACCAGTATTTCTTGACATACAAATGTGACAATGGCCTCCAACATTCAAAAATATTGGTTTTTTTTTTTTTTTTTTTTTTTGCATAATTACCTTGTGAAGTCTGTCATCTCCATCATAATCACACACATTCTCTTGGCCAAAACAATTATGTCATTACTGGTATCATCCCATATTTCAATCTCTGCATCAAGCTTACTCTTGACTTTTTTGAAGTCAGCCACCTGTTCCGCTATCTTTTCTTTTTCAGCCTCTGGCAGCTGAGTCATCTTTGCCTGAAACATAAAATAATATGCTTTGCCAAGTATTTTGTCTGTCAGCTTTTTATTTAAAACAAAACCATTGAGTATTGTTAAATATATACTTTAAACACACTGTGGCCTGAGTCAACCCTTCCAGTCTAAGCACCTTTGTATTTCAGTATCTGTATGCCATCACATGCTGGGTGAAATGGACTATTGCACCGAATAGAACAGCATTTTCCATGAAACTATTAATATTAATGTGATAAGAAAAACAATAATAAACAATGATAAATGTTCCCAAATAGACAAAGTATGATTGATAGTTTTACCTTCTTTTTACCCACAGTAAAGAAAAGGTTTAGCTTTGCACAGTAAGAATTTGTTTAGAGACACAACTTCTATCTTTTAAAAAACATTAAAAAAAGATCACTATATCAGAGATCAGTATGTGGTAAGATTACCGAACAAGTATCTTGAATGATTATTTAAAAACTCCAATATTCAAATGAAGCCCCAGTCAAATAGTGCCTAGGCAGGGCACAGACCTGTACCTTGGTACAGGTCTAGGCTGCACTATTTGCAAATGTGCCATAGGCTAAAACTGTTTCCAGTCAAGTTGTCAAGTCAAGTATGGCTGGAAGTGTGTGACTGTGAAAATTCAGCCTGTGGAACATTCTGAATGAATCTACATTGAATGCACATATTCTTTCTATATTTAAGCATTAATTTCTTTTAAAAAGTACTTCATTTATAACAATAGTGAAACTTCTGAAAATGCAGTATGGTGAGAACAGGTATGTTTTTGCTTACTCTCCTTCTTCATGAGCAACATTATCAGTTACCAGCCTGCTCCAGAGATGGGTTAGATAAAACTTCTGTCTCAGAGACAGGTCAGAAACTAGACTCACTGAGATTTAATGTGGTCATCTCTGGACATACGCTTTTTTTTTTTGTACTACCCACACAGGATGTAGCCTGCACTGCCGCACTATTCTGTGCACTGTTCTCATATGTCCCACTAAGCTGGAGCCAAGAACTTTCAGCCTGTTGTCTCGATGTCTCTACTGCTGGAATACTTTTTTCTCACTATCACATCAGATATATGAAGATGTCCACCTCAGGCATGGCAGTTCATCAGGAACTCACAGTTACACTTTCTAATGCAGCAACTATTATCACACCATAATTATATTGCAAATGAACAACAAATATTCTGTGTTTTATCCTCATTTATTAACTGAAAGTTAAGGCATTGGCTTCATTCTTAAAATTACAATAAAAAGTAATCAATTTAATATACATTGCCTATGTTTTTCAAGCCACACCACTTATGAGATTTTATTTATGCTAGAATTACTCTATCAAAAGATTAATTTTCCCAGCAATATGAATTACTGGATATTACAGGCTGTGAAGGTATATTACCATTGCCATCACTGAATAAGAAAGTATAATTGAGTATTTTAAACATTTTTTTTCACTTTTTTAGAAATAGCTACTTAACCAGGTATTTCAAAAGAAGAATATCGTCATGATCAGATTTTGCTAAGCAAGCCATGCATATCTTCCTCCTGACTGTAGAATGAGCTTGTTGCAAGAAACATGGAACACTCAGGAGCTGGGGCACAGAGTCAACAGCAGTATCCCTTTTTGTAACTAAGTATATATTCTCCCACTGGAGAATACTGTGATATTCCCTAGACCACAGTTTCAATACTGGTATAGAACATGGACCTAGAATCTGGTAACAGAAAGAAAGAGAGAAAGAAAGAAAGAGAGAAAGACAGAGAGAGAGAAAGAGAAAGAGAAAGAAAGAAAGATGACATTTTAGTGAGGAACTGGGAGAGACAATATTCCGCTACACGACAATGCTGACCTCAACTTTTCTTTAGATTCCTCTTTCTCTTTTATGACTTGTTATCTCTCATGCTGCTTTAAAGGACATGAGCAGCAACAAAATAAAGCAACTGCACCACCTTTCAAGAGCAGATGTGATTCTGTACCAAGACAGACTCAACGAAAGTAAATATAAAATAAGGATCTAATTTTCTTATTTCAGTCCCTGCCATTTTTGCAGTCCTGCTGTCACCAATTGCCTTCTCCCAGTTTTAAGGATTATAGCATCTTCTCAAGTCCACTTCGAACAAGTTCAGAGACTGCCTTATTTTTGCTGGGATATGTCTGTTCCTGTATATTGTTAGATAAAATATAACTGAACAAAGAGGAAAAGCTATTGACAGTTAATGTCAAAAGATCAAACCATTTAATGCCATTTTTGCATCAGTCTTTACTGAAAAGGTTGACTTAGATGAGACAATTGTGTCAAATGAATCTGTTTTCTCTCCATACCAGGGCAATAGGCCTATAGATGAAAAAGCAACATGCCATGTATCCTGTCTTTGTCACTGTTTCTCATCTCATTCTCATAAAAAATGAGTGAAATATGCTCTGTAAGAAATTACCGTTGGCTGGATGTGACACAAGAGGAGAGAGAGTTAAGCTGTAGGGATGTATCATGGAAAATTCAAAAGGGTCAGTATCTTCAGCAATGGCAGGGATGACAGAAGGAAGAGCACATGCCAGCCATTTGCAGATGACATACAAGAGACCTGGTTCACAATTCAGAATCTTTAAAAACTTGAGAATGGATCTGGAAAAATAACTGGATGTAATTCAGCTGCGACAAAAGAACAATCACCAATACACACATACGAGCAGGTCACAGCTGGGTACTGGCATTTCTGCAGACTACGGATTTATAGTTGAGAATAATGTCATACACCTAGAAAAAAAAAAGCAAACCTCATATTGAAATATTTAAACAGGAGAAAAGAGCATGAACCTTACACTCCAGTGCCTGTTGGTGAGACACCAGCTACTGTAATGATTGAGCAATATGAATTATCTCACACAAAACTTAAAAAGCCTTCAATCAGATGAAGAGCATCCAGAGGAGAGAGAAACAGAACAAGAAGGGGTACAGAAAGCATAGTTTTTAAAGAGAAATAAAGGATATCAAACACTTGACACCAAAAGGAAATATATGATCCTCTGGGTTCATAGTGGAGAAGACCACTATTAACATGCTTAATTGCATCAAGTGAAGCAAATCCTACTAGATGCTACGAAAAAAAATTCCATTAGCTAATTACTCAAATTAATTGTTTAAAGAGAGACAGCAGTGGAACTGATAGATGAATGTGTCAGGAAGAAGCATATTAATTCTACCTCTAGGCAAATGGCTGAATTAACCTACGTCTCGTGGTTCTTTCCAGGCCTACTTCGTATTAATACGCAATATTATACTGCTAAAATCTTGGGTCTTCCACTTCCCTTTAGTGAAATCCTGTTAACTTGTGAGTTAACAAGGGAATGAAATGTTTTTGATAAATCATGATTCTTGACAGGGAATACTTAACTGTGTACTAAGTGTCAAATTTGCTAATAGCAGTATTTATTCAAAATTTCACAAATTATTGGCAATGGGATTTCAAGCTTCTGGATTGCTTTGGTAAAAACTGAATACATCAAATATTTTAACCTTTTTTATTATCAAAATAGCAAATGCTTCCCCTTAACACATGCTATCTTTTAAAATAACATCGGAATTTAGATGTTCAAGATAAAAATGTTTTCAATAAATCTTTGTTATTGAATAAGAATAGCTGACTCATTTGATGGCAAATTAATTTCTCCTCTGCATACTGCATGTTGTCAAAATATTATGCTAGTAGTCTTATATCTTCCTAATTATTGTTGTTATTTCCACTACCTCAACCTCACCTGGCAATGTTAAGTCTAGTAAGTCTTTCATGGTCATCTTTTCAACGCTTTTTTTTTTTTTTTTTTTCCCCAAACTTATTTATTTATGATCACTGTGTTTACATTAGTTAATAGAAATCAAAGTAAAATAATTTGTTCTGGACTTCCTAAATCCCAGTATAATACACAGAGTCAACTTTTCATCAGCACTGAATTGTTGTGCAAACATAATATAAAACATATCTGTATGAAAGTAAATCTTACTCTAGATATTTTTGTCTATATATTCATGAAACAGTCTGCAGAACTCTGAGGAAAAGTGTGGGTGGGTAGTTTCCTGGAAGCATTTTTGCTCGTCACCCGTAACAGGATTATGTAATGTGTGAGCTCAAATATTTCACCCTGTAGCTCAACATGAACATGTAACCTATAACCATAACATGAAAATTAAGGTTAAGTTGTTTTTTCACTAATTTATTAACTTTATATACTTAAAATTTCTCCTTTTCTCGAAATACTCATTGTCCTCTAAGTCTGAGAGTTAACTGGACAGCTGTTTATTTGATCTTCTCCCCAGGATGATATTCTAGGGTGGCAAGCCAGAAAATACCACAATGAAACATCATTAACCATGACATCGCACATTTCTTCAGGCAAAGTTAGTGTGTGATTATAGCATTATTAAACAAATTAGACACAACCATCTGAGAAAGAACTCTTTGGGCCTTATAGATCTGACTTTCAGTTGATATAGCCTGTGCTATTCCATTACTTCCGTAAGCAGTACCCGTTTATGCTATACCGATTAACTATACTGTTCAGACCTAAGACTCCTCTTCGGGGATATAAAAGAGTTAATAATCTAAGTATGGATTCTCTCTACCTAAAAAAAAAGATAAGATTTACTATTTAAGATGAAACATTTTTACAAGTGGCATATGCACATTACAGTAGATTTGAAATGCCTTATATTTCATAAGCAAAAAGAAGAAGAAAAAAAGGGAGGTTGGGAGGAAAAGAGGCTCTTCCAAAGACACTTGTTCCTTACTGCAGTGTAGAAGGATTTTATACAGGAGGAAACATGTCTCTCAACAAGGCGAAGTGAAATCAAGAGTGCTGTTGTGTAGTACTAGTATTAAGACCAATATAAAAGAATGAAATTTAATTGCTGTGGTAGAAATTCACAGAAGAAAGAACACAAGGAAAGAAATATCCTCTGCAATCTTGCCATAACACTTTAGGAACAGAGCAATTCTTGGCGTTACATGGCACACAGAAGCCTTGCAACAGCATAGGTCTGCTCCAGAACAAAAACAATCACTGTATAAAACTTACAGTATCTTCCCTATACGGACTCTTGTATTGGTAAATAAGATTCTAGGAAGAAATCTTCAGATTTAAGTAGTTTAAACAGAGAAGCCTTAAACCATTGTTCAGGTTTGTAGCAACAGCAAATACATTTGTTTAAACATGGGGTTAAAAGAAACATTCTAGACTCTGTAGGATAATAATTACTAGTGAGAGAAAGCTTTCCAATGTTAACTGTAGGGTATTTATGCATGTGTTTGCAAGCACACCATCCATCCCAGAACAAACCCATAGCATCTGATATGCATAACATTTTGATAGAAAACTTTTTCTTAACTTCAATAGAATTTTCAGTCTGCAATGTGAGAAAAAAAGTGCTACAAATTACAAGGAATAATTTAAACTGAGAAGGGCACTTAAGATACTTTAATTGCCAACTGTTTACTGAGCAGTAAGATCATGCATGTTAATCTTTCCCATAGTTCCATTTCTCACAATATATTTTAGGAATTAGTAATTAATTAACATATAATTGACTCCGACAGAATTAACACTCCCTTCCACGCAAGCAGGCAGTATTTAGTCAAAGGATGCTCTGCAAGGCCTTGAGAATAACAAGGAAAAGCTCCAGACACAAAATACTGATTTTTAATTTGTGCAACGCATCTCTAATGCTATGCACATCTTTATGAAAGCAGATGAATTTTCACTCATTTCATGGAGAAACTAAAATGACTATCCCAGTCATCCTGGGATGGTCCTTACCTTCCCCCCATATGCCCAGTTTTGTCAATGCACCCTTACCATGTACGATTTCTGTTTTGAAATTTTTCTTAAAAAGAGAGAGTACATCCAGTAACATACCAATAATTTTTACAAAACACCAAGCTTAAATATATGTGTGCATACATATATTGAAATAGAAACTGACAGCAGTTTCAAAAAGATCAATTAAAGCACTATTCTGAGTTTCCTTTGTTTTTGCTTATTTTTTTTCAAAAGTCATTTCACTTTTTATGAAATACTAAAAACAAGTGAACAGATTTTTAACATTTTCTCACTAGTGTTTGGGGGTCTTAAATAAAACACTTGTGTCTTGAAAACAATGTGAATAAAAATAACATTTTCCTTGACATCATTCATTTCTTATTTCTAGTTCTAGTTCTACTGTTTATAATTTCTATTATGGGAATAGTACTAGAATCGATCAAGTACGAGAGCGCCATTCTCGCCCTAGGCATTGTGCAAACAAGTAATGGAGTCGACATTTCTGGCCCTGTGGAGCTTTCCACTTCAGAAAGTTGCTACCAAAGTATGGTTTTGACGGAACATTTTTTGAGATGAAAACATAAATAAGATAAATGTTTGCTAAATAGGTCGATTGTGGACTAAGAAACCTTTTGCTTTCTTAAAAATATTTACAGGCTCTTAAGAACTGTATGAATACAAAAAAATAAGCCATAGTCAATAATGCAGACTTCAAATTAAATGATGATACAAAAAGCAAAACCAGATTTTCAGAAATATTTAATCAATCAAATGACATCTGAAGTTTTTCATACCTCCTCACGAACTCACTAACTAAGCAGTAACTAGACAGTAAGTTCCCATTTGAACTCACAGCAGGAGTGTCCCTTACACAGCATAGTGGCTAACACTCCACACTTCCTGTGCTGTGCAGGTGGAGCTTCTCACACATAGAAGCTATTTGGGATATTATGCATTGCAGATTCACATAACAAAATTCCCAATTCACTTCTGTTAGACTAAGGCAAATTTATTCAATTTTAATCAATTAGAATTCTGTTCAGGTCTGTATCAGCGCAAGATTTTTTTTCTGTCCAGTTTAAATCTTCACTAAATATTTACAATTTAATCACATGTTATTTTCTTTTGGATCATACACATGTCAGTTTTATGTCTGTGCACATTTTCAAGTATCTATTAAGGGTCGAATGGAATTTTGATGATTCACCGCCTGACTTTAAGAAGTGGCTTCACAGGAACAGTAACACAAGAACATTTTTCCCCTAGTCAAATTGCTTTGTAATTAAATTGGTGTGATACCTACCCTGTCAGTTTTCCCTTCAGTTTGAATACTTGAACGACTACATGCATCATGGTCTTCTTCGAGGTCAGAGATATCTTCTAGCTCCTCTGGTGTCTGAAAAAAAAAAGCATGTCAAGTTCCTGCATTACAGGGGAAAAAGAAAAAAAAAAAAAAGGCAAGCAGCTCCAATCTGCTCTTTGTATCCAATGTATTATTCCAATGCACTACTTCATATGCCACTGTCTCTTCTTTCTAGTCACCTCAACTATCATTAAAAGATCTATCTTTTAACACATGAGTTTCACTGCAGTTTACTGCATGAGGATTTTTATGCTTCCAAACACCTGTTCGTCTTGCCTTTGAAACTCATACAATTACTACAATGTTGCTAGGAACAGCACCTTGCTTTCTAGATGAATCTTAATTCTTCTTGCATGCAGTAGCATGATATTTGCATACTGTTTGCTACTATTGAGATGTTTCCTTAGGGCTGTCCAGCTTTTGACTGTAGGTGGATAGCAAGAAGTATTTTCTTATCCAGTAACGTCAGCCAGTCCTTCAAACAGAGGAAAGTTAATCCTAAGAGAAGCAGATAGGTACATTTACAGTTATGCAGCATATTAGCTCAATCCTTAAACTATTATACTACAGTTGTTATACGTGTAACAGAAGAATAGGAATTTCCTCTTTCCTCTCTTACTTTGGAAATGTTTTCCTATTTTTCATCCTATCCACTAAATTTTCTTTTAATTAATTGTGAGACACTCCAAACACATGTGATTTGGGTCTCTCTCTGTCCTTGTTTGTTGCATGTACATGTATTGTAGTGTGCTCAGAGCTAAAAGAAACTGTTATGGAAACATTTTGGGGGGAGGAGGGGTACTAGTTTCTTCAACCAGGTATGATCAACTCAGATCAGAGGTCATTTTCCACATGGTAGCAGTAATTTTCTATGTGATTTAGATTGTGATTTGTGTTTATTTCTTCCTTCCCATTTACCAACATATTACTTAGAAGTTGTTGTCTTTGTGCAACAGCTCTGAATTTTACAGTAACTCAGTATACAAAGCGTGATGAACGTGGCTATATAAAGGACACTAACAAAACCTAGTGCACATCTAGTACAGGAAACCTTTGGGATAATTAACTATTTAAAAATTAGTATGGGCTCTGCATATGCAATAGGTCACTCAGAAAACTTGTCCAGACTCAGTAATGATAAATGACTGGTGACAGAACCAATGTTTAAAGATCACATAAAGATTTAAAGATGTGATTTAAAGATCACATAGTTGATTGACCTCTGCAGTTCCAATTACAGGAAAAACTGCCCTTCTTCGTATCCCAAGAGCCTGCTGTTTGAGATACATGAAAAGTGCTGCCACATAACCCTACCAAAAACATGCAGAAAAAAAAATAAAGAATGGTCATTACTTTTACCAAATTCTATCAAATGTAATTTTTTAAATGCCAAATTACTATACATGTGGCCTGGGGCCTGAACCACAGGCCCAAGAGTTGACCTACAGCTGAATACAGCTCTGCCTTTGTAGAAGTACACAGAACTCACCTGTAAATTGTTTATGCTAACTCACATGTAAGCTTGACAAACTGCTTACGCCACCCTGCATGTAGGCTAATAAAATTTTAACTTTTGTAGGCTCTCAAAGAAATGTTTTTGACCTTGAAGGGAACCTTTCCATCCAAAGCCTGGGCTCTGGCCAAGTCCCGGTTCCGATGATAGAGAAAGTGTGCCACACCAGATGTTACCGCTCACAAAGAGAATGCAAGTTGTCATGATTTGCTGATTTGGCTCTATAAAAGCTGGACCATCTTGCTGCAACTCTGGAGACCTCACTTACAGCTGGATGTACCGCATGAGACCTCCCAGTAGCTGGGAAGGCTCTCCAAGTCGTTGCTGCAACAGGGGCTGCCCAGCGATTACGGATCTGGATGATGGTAACGTATTTAGTCAATTGGTGATGTATCTTTTTCTTAATCACTATTCTCTTGCTCATATAGTAATGGTTAAGTGCATTAGCTTGCTTGTTTTGTCTGTTGTTAAAGCCCAGCACATAGTAAGCTTATAGCTTTGTTAGATGTATCATTTCATTTCTGTATTATTTGATATTAATGGTAAACATGACCGTTCTTTCCCTTGGTGTCTGGTTCTTTCTGTCTCCCCCCGCCCCGTCAATTTGGCAAAACAACATGTTTATTAACAAGCTATGAGAGCAAGTTGGGCTTTTTTGTTGTTGTTGTTTTTGTTTGTTTGTTTGTTTTAAAAGAGAAAAACACTGCAGGATTCCATTAACTGTCTTTTTGGGTTCATAGCATATCAATAGCACCATATTAAACTGGGTGAATCCATCTGCACACATTCCTGTCATTTGGAAAAGTTCCCTGGGGCCAGTACACAGTACATAAACCACTGAGTTCAACATAAGCCTTGAAACAAGGTTTAAACAGTGCTCCATTACTTCAAAAGCACAGGAGTACATTTCATCCACTGAGCAAAGTAGCAATCATTTCTATGAAATAACGTTGTAAGAAATAAAGAGTCTGAAATTGCTCCTCAACCTGACATAAATATGCTGGTGCTGAAAAATATGCCTAGACTCCGAAAAGAAAATAAATAAGCAATCAATTGTTTAAGCAAAGATGAATGCAACACTGCACCAACCTACTCAAGCTTTACTAGTAACACAGAGGAAAGGAACATTTTGTTTTTAGGCAAAAACTAAGTGTCATAAAGTCTTTTTGCTTTAAGGCTTAGAAGTAGACCATGCTAGGATGCCTTTGTAGCCAAAAGCTGTTACTGTTTAAAAGTTGTCTGAAAACCTGCAGTGTGGAAAGTAAATCACATTTTATCGTGTGTGGATATACATGCAATAAAGAACACTATCATAGACTGATTTTAATTGCAACACTTCCTAAAACACTTACAGAGGGACAATAACTGAAAGAGTATAAAAACTGAGGACCTTTAACTTTGCTCCAGACTGCACCACCTGAAGCCCTATGGCAGGTGATAATCATCCTAGATTCAATAAGAAGTTTATAGCTCATAGTAACCAAATCAGTCTAGAAGTTTTTTTTTTTTTTTTTTTTTTGAGGATTTTCTAAAAAGTAGTTACATTTTTCTTATCCAGTGACTGTAAAGTTGGATTTATGTAGGCAGGGCACAATTCCTTCATGGGTGAACTTACACAAAGACTTAAAAATCGTAAGTAAATATCTATGGTTTAAAACCTTTTTTTTTTTTAATTATAGGACATATATGGAACACCTGATACTGAAATGGAGCAGGTTTTTGATGGTGTAATTTTGGGACACTCATATAATTTTTAAGTGATGATTTAGGCCATCACAGAAAGCACTTTGTACCACCACCACTCCACAAAAAATGTCACATACTTTACAAAAAGATTATTCCAGGAGGCTTTGAGAGAACTTCTAAAAACTCTTCTTGGTACTATTTTTCTCTATGTTTTTTTAATTGAAATTATTATAAGCCTAAATGTAAAGACCTTACAGAGCAAAGAGGCTAGGGAAATTACACTAGTGTTGGACCCTCTAAAGGACAGTCTGAACTAAGCCCTAGACTGTAACGTCAGCCTTTTAATTTGATACGGTGCTTCCAAACTGCAAGCTTCAGCCAGGCTATCAGCTTACAGGGATTCATCCTTCCCGTACTTGGATCTGTGTGCAGCAGTCGGGGTCAGAGTGCCCAGCAAGGGCAGAGGGTTCATCTTTGAGCCTGGCTTGGCCCAGATGTTCTTAGAGATGTTGTTAGAATACTAAACTATTCTTTTGTAATGCTTATGGCCTTTTCAGGTTGGTCAAACTTATTTAGTGGCTGGAATGAGGACGTTTCCTGTACAAGCTCCAGGCATCTAGCCTGAGTTGTTCACTCCAAAGTGAGTTCTTTGGAAGGCAGTTTCTCTAAGCCCAAAGCTGCCACATTTTCAACTACTGGTTTTACTATTAAAACAAACAAACAAACAAAAACAAAACAAAATACAAAACCAAACAACCAAACAAAAATGTATTGAAGACTAGGGACAGAAGTTCAAGCAAAAAGAAGCTCTCATTTATCACACATAAAATCACAAGGAACCATAACGATTTTCAGACACAAAGCCTAAAAAATAGGGAAAAATTCTATACAATAGAGAAAACATGTAATTCTTATTTTTATCTCCTAGTTACTTGTTTTATGTAATTCAATGCATCATTTTTGATTCTTATATTGCTTTCAGGACACAGTATTTACTAAACATATGCATAAGATACACACATACATCTACTAATATAAATACTCAATTTATGAACACATTCTAATACTGTAAATAATGAACGTAATGTGATTTATGACTTCATATGGTTGTATAACTTCACTTTTATTCCGACAGTAAAAAAAGCTTACTGCTTGTGTGAACTAGTCTTCATTAGAGCACAGAATACCAGGCCTGACAACAGAAAGTAGGGGAAAAGCAGTAATAAAGAGAAATTTTGCATGGGAAGAATAGCAGAACATGGAGACTGGAGTAAGAGAAACGGAATGCAATTCAAAGTACTGTTTAAGGTGGAGTATTCAGGACTATGATTAATTTTTGGTATGAACTAGGGTCTCAGCAACTGCAAATGACATAAGATAAAGAAAGTTTGAGTGTAAGTAATCAGCGACAGGATGGATGAGGGACACTAATGCCAAATTCATTATTAAGACATACAAAATGAGGGATTTCCAGTAAATGCAAAGAAGAAAACTGAGGTTAAAAAGAAGCCCTGTGTAAGATGCTGGTCAACTCAAAGCTAAAGAATGCAGAGAGGCACTGCTGCAAAACAGGAAGTCAGAAATTAATTTAAACAGGAATTTAGAATAAAAGGTTTCTAACCATTAGAGGATCAAGGTAATAGAAGAGGCTCCCCTAGGAATAGTAGAGCAGATTAGAAATCAATTTTAAGATGAAGCCTGAGCACAAACAAGATTTCTTAATAGCCGTCTGAAACAGCATAGATTTGACACAGAATGTCTGCTCCAATCTCTCAGCTTAGTTTTGGACGTTTGTGAAAAATCCTCATTTAATCTATCAAAAATAAATTCCAGA